CGCAGCTGCCATCCCTGCAGGGCTGCGGAGCGAGAGGGCTGTGCAGTGCTCGACGTCCCGTCTCTCCCCCTCCACGCAGGACGCCCCCCGGGTGGTCGCATGCTCGACCCCCGCCCCGCACGGCCTGAAGCGGGGGGTGCGGGAGGAGGCGGCCTCGGGCCTGGGTAGAAAGTCGGGATGCACCGGGCACCGCAGGGTGGCTTCCAGCTGTCAGAATCCCGGAATTTCAATTTGTGAGGAGGAAATAAAACTCGGGTTCGTGGGAAAGATCAAGCGTCCAGACCATCTTGGCTTTATTGTATTGCCCAGGTTCCCGCGGTGCACTCAGGAAAATGCCTTACCCGGCAGGCAGAGGTCCACTCGCCGCAAAGCTTTGTCACCCCAATCCGCAATTAAGGCTCGGAATCAGTTTCTTGTCAGAGCAGACAGGTTTATTTACAACTGAATGCATGGATCCATGGGTGCCTAAAATAGGAACACCCCATGTTAATTTCCTTAGGGTTATAGAGAATGCACAAAAGCAGAGTGAATACAATACACAGGAAGGTGATTGGATTCTTTGATATGGATAGGAAGGTGATTGGATACACCTCACAACACCATAAAGAATAGTTACATTTTGTAAGGAATGGAATCCAAGCAATGACGATACGGGAGGCAAAGTACCAAGCAGGGACAGTTTAATTCGTTCTGGCCAGACCGGGCGCTCACCCCAAAGGCAGTGCCCTGGGGGAGCAGTTCCCACAGCCTCTTCTTCCCTACTCATGCGCAAAGTCCCTGCCTCCTTTCTCCCACTGGCTGGGATACTGGGAATTCCCATTCTTCCCGTCCGCCTTCATCATACAACTCCTTGGTATGTTACCCCCACCTGCTCGTACATCCCATGTTCATGCTAATAACCCTCTGGGTCATAGTAGGAGGCACCATTAATATTCATTAGCTAATTACGCAGCCGTACTTTGGGTTCTAACTTCAAAAGTTTAATGCCATGCCTACCAATTACATCTTGTAGTCTATTAGTTTGTGTTAATCACAATAACTTTATTTATCATTAAGTGATCTGTATAGCTTTACCTGTTCTGGTCCATGAATCACAATACCTTTATTAATCACTAAGTGATCCATAGCTTTACCTGTTCTAGTTTGTTAGTCACAGTAATCGTCTACTTCTCACAATTTCACTCTAATTAGATGCCTTGTATAACAGATTGAATAAGCTTGATTAAGCATGGGATACAACAGGGTAAGATGAGAATAGCTCCTAATACACAACTCATGACAGCAGCATCTTTTCCCGCCATGCCTTACCAAAAATGCTATCCCACCAGTGCATGTATATAACTGTGGTGTTTTTGCTCTGTGGCCTCCCTCTGGCTCGCCATTCTTGAGGTACTTTGGGGTGCCGCAATTGGCTCCAGCTTCTAGCAAAGGACAGATTCCTCCTGACCAGGGAGACAGGCCGCCCAGCCCTGCAGCTTCACCTTGAAGGTGCAGAGAGCCTGTGCAGGTGAGGGCCATTTGGGTGAACACAGAAGCACAAAAGCGGAGCGATTCCGAAGGGACCCCCTGGGGCAACCAGCCTGACCCCATTGAGTCCAACCCCCTGCTCTGCTTCCACCTGTGGTCACCCATCCAGCTGCAGGTCCACACCTTTCTGGCTTAGCAAACATGACTTGACATGCAAGCTCAAAGTGGTTTGTTCCCTGACATCTATTTTTTGCAAGTGCGCAGGGAGGGAGGTGGAGTGAGGCTCTCCCATGCTTTCATCCTACTGTAGCCGACAAAAATGGCTGGATCTGACTTTAGCCCTCACCGAGATGAGGCGTGAGGCCTGCCATCGCACGTATCCAAACCTCTCTCCAGTTTAATTGCATTTAGAGAATTTTCTTCCCTTAATGCAAGCAAATATGCATTTCTACTTTCCTAGGATGTGTGGCCTTTCCAAATGCGGAACTACCAAAGGTATAGGCTGCTCCGTAGACCCGCTAAGGGCTCCCAGCACAAGACACCAGCAGCCTTGGTAGAAGATTCCACCGTGCTGCAAAATGGGCAGAAAAATGCAGGGATGTCCAAGCTGGAGGGCATCTCTGGAAAGGATACAAGCTCTGCAGCCCAGCCTGTGCTTCTCAGTGACCGAGCTTCCCTTCGTCCCAATATGTTTAAATGGATTCATAAAGAGATTGTACAGAATATCCAGGAAGACAGAAGAAGCAGAGCAGCGAACTTCCTGGTCAGCTCTGAACGTTAGAAGGTTCCAGACCTTCCCTCACTTAATCCCTGGAGAATGTTAGTCTTTTCACTCTTACTGAAAATGAGAAAGAAAAGAACATGCCTGCATGCACTAGGTTGTGTATTCATTGTGAGTCTCCAAAGCCACCCTGCCTAGGAAAATACAAAAACGAAAGCTGTGCATGAACACAGCGTGACAAACCAGGAGTTGGATGACCTTAACGGGCAGGTCTGGATGTGGCTACTCTGGGTTTCAAATTGCCCAGGAAAGAGAAGCAGGGCTGTAGGAAGGAGTGCTTATATCCATATATGCCCGACCGCCCCTTGAGATCTGCGGGAGAGGCACTTCTCCGGGAACCCTCCATGAAAGAAATTAGGAGGGTAGGTACTCGGAGGAGGGCTTTCTCTGCGGTGGCGCCCAATCTATGGAATGTGCTCCCCAGAGAGGTCCGCCTGGCGCCGTCGTTATTTGTTTTTCGGCGCCAGGTGAAGACCTTTTTATTTAAACGTCATTTTAATTGTTAACAATATTTACTTATTTATCTGGCCAGGGCGACTTCTTTTCTTTTATAACTTCTTTTATATCTTTTATATTTTTATTTATTTTATATTATTAATTTTAATTCTATATTGTTATTTTTGTATTGTATTGTATTGTGTTGTGTTGTAAGCCGCCCCGAGGCTTCGGCAAGGGGCGGCATAGAAATGTTCTAATAATAATAATTCTCCCTTTCCATTCTTCTTGTCCATCTTACTGCAGTTCAGGAGCATCTGCATCTCACCCTGGGCCAGTGGGAGAGTGTGGATCCTGCTGTGTCCTGTGATCAGGTATATTCAGGGCAGCGAGAGATGCGAAGATGCAACACCTGACTGGCTCTATTCAGTCTTTGCTGCCCTCGCTTTTTAGGACTGTCTGGGTGCAAGATCCCACGAAGGCCTGCTGTAATACTTGCTAGGCAGGGCCAGGAGAAATCTCTTGCATCTGATCGGGATGGAAGGATGATCTGAAACAAGGAAACAGGAAGAGTAAAAACGTAACAAAGAAAATGGGGGGTGGGACCAGATAACAGAAGGGAGTTTGGCAGGTAGACAAGATGGCAGGACCCTTGCTCAGTGACCTCATGACTATTAACAAACACACCCTGCATAGGAAATAAGCTCATTATAATTCACCTAGGAGGGACGAAGTGGGAGGGAAGAACAGGTATTGGAGTGGCACATAATAGGTGGACGGAAAAGATTGTAACCGCCCAGGACCTTGGCAAATGAGGGAGAGGAAGAGGGAAGAAGCGGATGGGGAAAGAGCATAAATATGGGGTGTGAACAAGGGCTCAGAGCATCGGAAGGGGAAGGAAACTCTCCAATTCCCTTTGTTGCAATAACATTTCAAAAAGAACTCTCTGCTGCCTGGAGTATTTTTCTCTTCCGAAGGAATGGAAAGAGTGTTTCTAACACAGCCATTGAGACAGACTCCTGTGCTATTGCAGTCGAACCCACGGAGGTACCCTGAATACAGCCTGCCCCAATTTTCTTGGATGAGGATGTGGACAAGGTGCTTGGCCAGGTTTGTGTCGCCCCCTCTGCACTGGATCCTTGCCCTTCCTGGCTAACAAAAACTAGCCAGTGGGGACAGCTGGCTGGGCTTCAAATGCCTCTTTGTGGTCCCATCCCACCTTAAGGAGGTCACTCTGGACTCCAAGGATCTTAATAACTTTACTCCAGTGGTAAATGTTCCCTTCCTGGGCAAGGAATGCTCGGTGGCCAGCTGGTTCTGGCACTCCTGGATGAGGCTGGTCATCTGGATCTAGAATCCAGTTGGGGCTCAGAGGGGGCTTTCACATGGACACAGCTTTGATTACCCTCCATCATGACCTATGTTGGGACAGAGACGGGAACTGGGGGTTTGTTGATACTCCTGGACACCTCAATGGCTTTCAGTAGAGAAGTTCTTGGTGTGGGTGTTGATTTTCAGGCAGAATGAGAGAGAAGTACATATTCCAAAATAATAACCAAAAATAAATGAACGGATTCTATTGCCCAACACCAGGAGCTTTCCTACCTTGTATTTCTCGGCCGTCTCTTCCTTGAGAAGCACAACGTGCCTTTCATGTTGTGGGGAGTTTTTACATTTCCAACACAGCAATTCTTCATCTTCTTTACAGAACAGGTGGAGTTTCTCCTTATGTGTTGCACACGTGCTCTCTTTTTGTAGACTCATGGGCATCACTTGAATGTTTTCCACTGGATTGGCCAGCTGCCTGTTGGGCCGGGAGTTGTATTTCTGGACTGGGGCTTTGCAGATGGGGCACTTCAAGCCCTCTCCATATTTTTCCCATTTCTCACAGTAGCTTGTGATGCAGCCTGCACAGAAGTTGTGGCCGCAGTCCAGATTCTTGGGGAATTTCAGATACTCCAGGCAAATGGGACATGTGGCTTCTTGCTTCATTTCTGTGAATGGGGAAGCCAAGGCCATTGCAGAGGATGTAAAGAGAGAGAAGAGGTGGCTGTGGATCAGAAGTGGCTAGAGAAAGAAAGAAACATAAAATTAATAAAGTTGCATTAAAACCTGGGAAACTATTCATTTCAAAATCCTTCCTATGGGGGCCAGGTCTTAGATGCAAGCCATCTCTCCAGTAACTGCTACTATCTGAAATGCATTAAAAGAAAAAAGAAAAAAGAAAAGGAGAACATTTTTCATGCAAAATCAGCCTTGGGATATAAAAAGTGTAGCAGCAGTTTTCTGGTTTTGTATATTTAAATTATTTTTATTATTATTATTATTATTATTATTATAACATTTCTATGCCGCCCCTTGCCGAAACCTCGGGGCGGCTTACAACACGATAAAATACAATGAAATACAATAGCACATAATAAATTACCATTAAATACAAAGTACAAAAAATACATTGGTTTACAAATATAAGATTAAAATTATCAGTATAACTTAAGTAAATAAAAATATAGGAGGAGAAAGAGAAGGAAGAAGAAGTTGCCCTGGCCAGATCATATGTTCTATGGATTGTATATATATTTTAATGGCGAATTCTTACATTTCCTTTTTTAAAGAAAACTGTTTAGTTTGGATATTTGGTAGCTTAAGTTTTTTTGATGTAAACTACTCTGTATGAGAGTCCCTTGGACTGCAAAGAAATCAGATCAGACAATCTTAAAGGAAATCAACCCGACTGCTCTTTAGAAGGCCAAATACCGAAGATGAAATTCAAATACTTTGGCCACCTAATGTGAAGGAAGGAAGGACTCCCTGGAGAAGAGCCTAATGCTGGGAACAATAGATGGCAAAAGAAGGAGGGGGCGGCAGAGGATGAGGTGGCTGGATGGAGTCACTGAAGCAGTTGGCGTGAGCCTAAGTGGATTCTGGGGGAAGGTGGAGGACAGGAAGGCCTGGAGGAATGTTGTCCATGGGGTCGCGATGGGTCGGACACGACTTAGTGACTAAGCAGAAAAAATGACTCCACTTAGAATGGTGTTCAGTTCCGGTTGGCTTACCTGAAAATAGACATGAATGAGATGGAAAAAGTACAGAGAAGGGCAACAAAAATGATCAAGAGTCTGGAGCGGCTCCTCTGTGAGGAACGGTGACGACAGTTCAGCTTAGAAAAAAGGCAAGAAAGGGGAGACATGGTCGAGGTGCTTAAAATAACCAGCTTAGAAAAAAGGCAAGAAAGGGGAGACATGGTCGAGGTGCTTAAAATAATGCACCGTGTGGAGAAAGTGGAGAAGGAGAGATTTTTCTCCCTCTTCCCTGTTACTTGAACCCTGGGTCATCCCATGGAGCGGACAGGTGGGAGGTTTAGGATGGATAAAAGGAAGGACTTCTTCACACGACCGATAGTCATTCTATGGAAGTTGTTGCCGTGGGAAGTGGTGACGGCCACCGATCTGATGGCTTTAAAAGGGGACTGGATAGATTCATGGAGGAAGAGGCCCTCTGTGG